TATATTACTTGTGTGGTGTAGAAAGAGAATTATTTTGTAGAGATACTGCTTGCAAACCAATGATGGTAAGATGATGTCATGGGGTAGGACTGGATAAGTCTGACTTCTTCCTACTCCATTCAAGCATGTACTAGGTATAAGCAAATTGATATTGGATTAGCATTTGTTGGATATGTGTAAAATTATGTTTTACATGCTTGAAAGAATAAATCAAATCAAATGGCTGTTGCAGCAACAAAATAATAGGACTCAACACGTAGAGCAGAGTGTAATTAATAACAAAATAGAATAAGTAATATACAGGAAACATTTATGTACAGACCTGTTTGCGTTGCAGGACAGATGTTAATGTTTTGATTCTTACTCAAATGTAGCTCAGAAAGTGTTGCATAAGATTTCAAATACTCTGTGTACAGCTACTGTTACTGAGGATGTAAAATACAAATATTTAAAGTGTCCACACATGGATGTGCATATAAAAGTACTGTCAAACAGTAAATGAGCTTAAAAATGTTTATTCCACCCAGTGTTCATGTTCAGATCAATTTCTTGTTTCTGTTGCAGATCCTGGATTTCGGGCTGGCTCGCAGTGCTGATGCTGAGATGACAGGCTACGTGGTGACTCGTTGGTACCGGGCGCCTGAGGTCATTCTGAACTGGATGCACTACACCCAGACTGGCAAGACAATCGTAGCTGTTACATATTCTTACCTGCGTCCTCACTGTCGGCTCAGTACTCAGCTGGTGTGTCAGTGCTGTAGCTGTAACGGTTTGCTGGTTGTCATGTGAAAACATCCCGGCTCCAGTTAAAGGGATTTCTTTCTTTTAGCTGTGGCTTGTTTGGTACTTTATGGGTCAGTAGTTTTTATAATTCTGTTGCCAGTGCATGAAACGGATTTGAAGTTACATGGGTGTCATTTTGACAGCTAGTCTTTCCCCCCCTTATTTCGTTAGCAGTTGACACACAGCAGGTCTGACAGCAGCCTGATAGTGCTGAGACTCAATGACTGAGCTGTCACTGCAATGAAATTTGACTTTCCCAGAATTTATGTTTCTTTAAGCGATAATGGGTTTTCATTTTGTTAACACCATCCGCCTGATGGAATGTAACTGAGGAAGCAACAATAGCTTCTGCTCTCTGTTGTGAATAGGAACTTTGCTCTGGCATATAAATGCCGTCTTCCTCATTGCACTGATGTAAACTTAAAACACTCTTATGTGACATGTATTCAGCACTGATGTTTTTTTCTTTGGTATTTATTCCAGTGGACATCTGGTCTGTGGGCTGTATCATGGCAGAAATGATCAATGGGAAAACCCTTTTCAAAGGAAAAGACTGTATCCTTTCTTCGGCCTTGTCTATTTACTGGATTTGTAAATTTCGAAGCCTGTGTATTGCTAAATACTGACAAAATAGGAATGTACTACATGATTCACAAGTGACCCCATATCAAAATTTTAATATCCCTTTTTAAAATTATTGTAATACTAAAGAAAGTTGAAAGCCACTTAATTAAACAATGTGATTTATTTCACGATGGGTACTATATACCATCTGCAAAATGCAACACAAAATGCAATGACAGTGTGTTACATGCAGCAAAAGTAAAACTGTTTCCTCAGGAAGCATCCAGTACTGCTCTTATTGCAGTATTGCATATTTTTTGCATGTTTTATTTATGCCTTTTATGTTCCTTTTCTTCATCTGATGCACTTTTTACTGATTTATAGCACCTACAAGTAAACAAACCTGTCACTGCTTCTTCAAGAAGCTTTCAATTTCCTTTATTATTCTGGTTTGTAGGCCTGTTGGAGACCTACCTTCACTCTGTTTATGTGTGGACACTTACTGAATGAACCACAAGGCTATCCCAGGTTTTAACATCCTAACCCCTTTACTACCAGACATGGACCAGCTGACTCAGATCATGAAAGTGACCGGCGTGCCTGGGCCAGAGTTTGTACAGAAGCTGGACAGTCCAGAGGTAGGACCACTTGCAGTAGGTGTATATCATGAAACTGCAGTTTGACTGAGATGGGTTTGACAGGTTTGACTCCTTAAACTATCGTGTAATTTGTGAGACATGTATAAACTGAGCTGCTTCTGCATAGAAACACTAGAACATACGTTCACCTTATTTTTTGAGCTTTAGGTCACGTCTAAGATGATAATTCATCGTAACATTGTAAATGAGTCAGAAAACAAGGAAAAGCAGGTCATGGGCTCTTTAAGTCCTGGTTTCACCAGTTCACAAATGATGTTGAAATTTGTCCAATTTAATCACACCTTCATATCATTACGTTGTCTCAGCTGATGCACCAATGCATGGTGCAGTATTGTGTGTGTGTATATGGTAGCTACTTCACTTTAACAAAGTCAGTTGTTTAAAGGATGATTTGAGTTTCACTGAAATGCCTCCATTGCAGTGAAGCAGTTGATTTTGCCACTTTCACAGGTGCTCCTAACTAACTATCATTTGATGCCTTTGAAGAGTAGAATGTATTTTTATCAGCATCTGTAACATATTTATAGTATATAACTAGTAATACAATCACTGTTTGTCACTGAAAATGATATTTAGATTTAATCAGTGTTTCTGCAAAATTGCTCCTTTGCTGTGTTGTTTTGTGTTTGATAGGCTTAGTGTTGTATGTTGTTTTGATTTATATTGCAATTTGTTTTTTTTGTCTATGAAAATAGGCCAGAAACTATGTGAAGGCCCTTACTCGCTATCCCAGAAAAGACTTCTCAACGTTGTTTCCCAGAGCAAGTGCAGAGGGTGAGTTTAGCCACGGCAAGAAGTTCTCTTAAGAAGTTTATATAGCACTTATAAAAGTTAGCAATTACAAAGTGGTTTACAAGGCAGGCATAAAAGGAAAAAAGGCAGACTAAAAATACACATTCACACAAATATCTCATTAAAAAATCTATAAATAAAGATAGCATTATAAAACTGGCTTTTCAGAAGTTACAAAAAAGATGTTAAGTCAGAAATTCTTCAGCAGCTCCTTTGATAAAGGTGACAGATAAAGTTCAGTCCCTATATGTTCTCAACCTTGCATTAGGATCAGCCAGGATGTTCATGCCTGAGCACCTTAGGCTGTAGGTTGATTAGATTCATAGATGTAATCTGGGGCCAAGCAATGAAATGCTATAAAAATAATGAATATGATCTTAAAATCAGTTCTAAAAACAATTGTCAACTAATGAAAAAGCTTTTTAAGAAGAGTAACGTGGTCCCTTTTCTTGCTGTCTGTTTGAAGCCTGCTCTTTGGTTGCTGCATTTTTTACTATTTGGAGTCTGTGAACTGATTTCTGCCACTTATGGGGCCATTATAGTAGTATAATTGAGAGGTTATTACTGCATGTATAATGGATTCTGTATCTTTAAACCTTAAACTGCTCCGAAGATGGTAGAAACCCACACTCCAATTGAGAGACACTCAGTATAACCACTCTCTTCTACTGCTATCCACAGCGATGGTCCATCACAACAGTCGGGGGTCAGGACTTTATCTGTTTCATTTGCAAATAATGTACATTTTAGTACTTTCTGGCTCTGAATAATGTAACACCATCATAATGACTCTCCACGTACCCTGGTCATTAAATTTTTTCCTCTTCCCGTTCTAAACAGTTGGTGGCAGGTAGGTCGAGAGCAGGAGCAGTTCTCAAAGTAATGCATTTTATATCTCTGGCAGCAGAAGAAGTGCTTCTTTTTGCATCTTTTGTAAGGAGCTTAAAAACTGTTACATATATCAAATAAATGTCTTTTCTATGAATAATCTGACTTTACAGCAGGATTACAGCAACCTCCCGTATGACTAACATCAATAAAAATGGTTTATACATTCACTGCCATATAAAATTTGATGATTTTTATGTTTGATCAAATTGTTGCATTATCAGTGCAAATTTCTGTTTGCAGGTATAGACCTACTGGAGAAAATGCTGGTTCTGGATGGAGACGAGAGGCCTACAGCAGAACTGGCTCTGGAGCACTCGTACTTCGAAAATCTAAGGGATGAAGGTGACTTCCCTGATCCTGCGCCATATGATGACAGTTATGACAATGCCACATTGTCCTTGGATGAGTGGAAGCGTAAGTAAAAATTAATAAGCAAACATCGGTTAAAAAGAAATCACCAGAACAGAATCAGAAGCAGTGTATTTTTTTCATTATATGAGGGTATATAAACAGAGGTAATATATTTGTGCCTCATAGTGGATGCAGTAAACAGTAGGTATCATGCTTTTGAAAGATTAGAGCAGGGATTTGTTTTTAAAGTGCTCACTGTTGGCCATTTTGAATGATTTACAATGACACAAGAATGTTGTTTCAGACCTTCTGTTAATGTGTTGATGTATAATTAATGTTAAAATGTCATGCTATATGTCATTAAGTGCTTTCTGTTTTAATTATTATTGAGTTCTGGAAGTGCTGCACTTGCAGAAAACAAATAGATTTCCCCCTTTTCCATCAGGATTATGTTTCAAAGAGGTGAAAAGCTTTGTGCCATTCCCACGGCGGGATTCGAAGAGGAAAAACACCCTGACTATGTCACCGTAACTTGATAAATGTCATGCCCCAGCCAACAGAATACAACCATTTGTGCCCTTGTATATACTAACCATGGATTCACTCTGCTTCTTTAACCCTGGATATCTTTAAATTTTTAATCTGTGTTCAGAAGATGAATAATTTTAAAACTTTCACTATTTTTTGTAATGTGTGATTATTTCCTAAATGTAGATTGTCATTCAGCATTCCTTATCAGTGAATTGTCTTGCAAATTTATTGTGGCCAAATGTCACAGACAGGGTTTTCTGTAAGATTTGCTGTAATATTGTTTTCCAATTAAACAATAAGACAGTGTGTATGAAGTATTTTTGTAGTGCTGTGTCAAGAGAGATTACAGTAATAGTTCCTGGTACAACTCAGCCTATTCAAATCTTTTGTTATTAAAATTAGTATATAGCCCGGAGGTAAAAAATAGCATCATTACTTCAGTCTCTACCAGGCTGTAAGCTATATATCAGCTTTACACTTGTACCTAATTTGCATGTATAATACTGCACAGAGGTCATTCATTAGGTGCAAGTTATGTTTAATTCCATATACCATTTATTTTAAATAGGATCTTGCACTGGACATCCTGCTGCCCAGTAGACTGATTTCAGTCATGTAGTAACTTACAATATGATGCAGGTGAAAATAGGTGAATAAAATAAGCATGAGTGTGTGTGTGTCTGTGTGTGTGCGCGCACCATGGGTGTACTAAGGAAAATAATACGTTGTGCACATGTTTTGTGTATATACTGGCGACAGGACAGGTGTCAGGTTGACTATGCAACACTCCAGTGAGATCTATATAGTTAGAGTTAAGAGCATAGTGTTGAAAAGCTACTTTGATTAAAAACTACACATTTAAAATGCACAAGGTTATTGGTATCATTACAGACTGTCATTGTCATTGTTAAATAACTTGCGCGCGAAATTGGATGGTGACGTCAAGAGGGCGGACTAAACTTTATCAAACTCCTGTACCCCGGAGGCGAACATAAAAGCGGAAGTGAGGCATATTGCCGTCAAAATAAGTACATAGGAATAGCATGACGGCTCATTTCCCCATACTATTTGATTTCTAAAGACTCCAAAAGCAATTCTACATTGTTTTAAAAATATTTCTACCTAATGTCCCATAGAAAGATAAAATAAACTAAGCTGAATCTAAAACTAAATATATCATTTCAAAAACAAATTTTGCAGCTTATATAGAACATCGCGTGTTAATATTAACCATTTAATTTGTATTATGGACGAAAGGAGCTCAAACATCTTCAGAAAATGTTACAAGAATCAATAGTCAACAGTGACATAAATGAATGATCTGACAATATAGATGTAGCAACATTAAGATGAATTAACACACAGCTCTGTAGATAAAAAAGACTGCTCCACCCAAAATACCTTGACCCACCCCCCAAGCTGCACACCAAACCACAATTCAACACGTGTCTTCAAAACTACAACGTTTTGTAGTAGACGGTATGGCAATGAAATACTGTGAAAAGTGTAAGATGGCAGAAAATTTTTTTGAAAAGAATTAATGGTGAAACGTTGATACACACTATACACCAACCAGGACTTTATTTTGAAAGATCTATTCGGAAGTTCTGTGGTTTTGCTTTGGCTAATATCGGTTTAGCAGTTAGTCTAAGCTCTAAAATACCTAGCCAGCTACCCGAAGGAGGCTAGTATTTTTTCTCACAAAACTGGGCGGATAATAAGATGCCTCTTAGATTATTTATACATATATACCACTCTTTTTCCTCATTAAATATTTGTTATTGACTGTTTGCCTCCTAAGTGCCGTGTTGTGAAGAAAGTGAAGCGGTATGAAATAGCGAAATATACCGGCTGTAGCAGCAAAGTGTAGCTGGCTAACGGTGCCTGTTAGCTTCGAGAGTACAGCAAGTTCGGCGGCCGGCTAGGAATCCATTAACGTGAACGTTACTCTCGAAGCGGCTTCAGACCGCCAGCTGTCGATCGACCAGTTTCACTCAGTTGCCATAATAGGTAAGATGGCTTATGTCTTCTGTTTTTTTTTTTTATTATAGACTGGTTCAGAACTTGTAACTCACTTTTAGTTAGCAATGGTCTAACTTGTTCTATGCATTGTCAATTGTAAAAAAAAAAAAAAAGCTACCCTAAGTACTCCCAGTCTGTTAAAGTTAGCAGGCTAGCTAAATTATAACGTTTACTTGTCTCTGTACTTTAACGTTATGATGGACCACCGGAATACTGTCAATACTGTGCATTTATCATGTCGACTTTACCAGATTAAGCATTTCTTCCAAATTACAAAACAACTATTAAGAATTAAACTGTAAAGTAGCTTGTAATAGTGTTTTTAAATTGTAAATATGGCTGACATTTTGCTCGAAATAAGGACACTTGAGACCGATGGATTCTTAAAGCTGATAGGCTCTGGGGTAGATCAGTCAAATGTTCCTGAAAGCTGATTGGATGTTATCGTTGTGTTGTTGTTAGCCCTCAGAGTAGTTGCCAACAATTTAAACAAAGTCAAGTTTTTTTTTTGTTGTTTTTTTTTACTGGCCCCACGGGTTTTGGCAGTAAAGAATAATCCTCAGATTGGCAGTTTGTTAAATACCAGTTCATTAGTTTAAATGTTTGGGTACTGTCACTGAATGAGCAAGAATTTTGCGAGGGGAGGTATGTGAAGGAATGTTTACGCTGCAGGTGGTACTGACTGTAGCACTACTTAAAAACAATGTCATATAAAACACAGATGTGTTTTTGAATGACACAATATGCCAAGTAGTAGTAATATATTTAGTCTCTTTGGCCTTACTTCTGTGGCATTGTTAAAGCAATGGCATTAGAGTTTGCTTAGTTCTTTTAAATAGCGTGCTGTATAATGATCACAAGGGTAAAATAAGCTGTTAAGGCAGTAGAGAATAAATATACATAAATATGACTAAGTGACTGGCTCTGTTAATGGGCAATGTCTCAGATGAAAGTCAAACTGAACTGAATTAGCATTTTTTATTTTTTTATTTATTTATGTGTTTTTGCTACTACATATGTATCTGCTCTGTAAATTGTCATGCAATGCTTTCTTTGAGGAAAAAAAATAAGAAACCTAAAGGGATACATTTCCATTTATTTATTTTGTTTTTATGTTAGTATTCCATAATTTTACATTGATTAAACAGAATACCATCCTGTCTAAACACTGACATGCCTCTCTGGCTAAGACACAAAGAAGTATTTCTGATATTTCCCCAAATATTTTTTTCCTCCTGTAAATAAAAAATGTTTAACAATAAATTTAAAAGCACCTTTGCATTGTTTTTGTCTGCTAATGGCATACCATCTTAAAATTCTGCTGTAGCATTATCAAATGCTTATTCTAATACAATACACTAAATGTATCTTGGATTGACTATTATTTATGGTCTAGGACTATAGATCACTCTTATTATTTTCTTTTCTTTTTAACCAACAGGAGGGAAAGTGTGATTGGTGGCCTATGAGGAAGCCACGTCGAAAAGGCCAGGTGGCTGAAGGAGGTAGAGCAGATGTTAAGAAATCCAATGGGTCAGTTGGCGGGCGTGGAGGTGGGCGTGGAGGTGGCCGCCAGCGATCCCCATCCCCTTACAGCCTCAAAGCATCTCCAAGCAGAGAGACACTGACCTATGCCCAGGCCCAGAAGGTGGTTGAGGTGGAACTGGATGGTAGGCTTCACCGCATTTCTATTGTGGAGCCGATGGAGGTCATTACTGAAGATGAGATGATGGCTCAGGACATTAGTGAGCATAACAGCAACAAGAAGAACAGTGAGCAGTCATCATCTCCCACCAGTGGTGCCCAAACAGTCCACAAACCTGTCACACCCCGTGGCCACAGGAAAGACTCTAAATGCCCCTCTATCAAGTCACCACCACCTTCTAAAAACCACTGCCCCAATTCTCATCCACACACACCTGAAAAATTAAATGCACCCCATCATCACCAAATAACCCTTCCTGAACCTAAATTTCGTGTGATAGAAACCTTCACTCCAGTCAAGGTACCTCCTCTGCCTACAGCATATTATCGTTACATTGAGCGTTCAGCTGAGGAGCAGGAAGCTGAGGCAGAATATGACATGGACGAAGAGGACAGCGCCTGGCTAGAGATGATCAATGCTAGCCGGACATCAGAGGGTTACTCCGCTGTTTCACCAGGCACTTTTGAACTGCTGGTGGACCGACTGGAGGAGGAGGCATACCGGGAAGCCCGCAGCCGGGTGCCCTCTCAGAACACTGTTGACGATGATGCCTTCTGCTGCGTGTGCCTGGATGATGAGTGCCTCAACAGCAATGTTATCCTCTTCTGTGATTCCTGCAACCTGGCTGTGCACCAGGAGTGTTACGGGGTTCCCTATATCCCTGAAGGCCAGTGGCTGTGTCGCTGCTGCCTTCAGTCCCCTCAGAAACCTGTTGACTGTGTTTTATGTCCGAACCGTGGCGGTGCCTTCAAGCAAACAAGTGACGGCCGCTGGGCACATGTGGTCTGCGCTATCTGGATCCCTGAGGTCTGTTTTGCCAACACTGTTTTTCTGGAACCAATTGAAGGGGTCGGTAACATTCCCCCAGCACGCTGGAAACTGACCTGCTACCTGTGCAAGCAGAAGAGCTGCGGCGCATCTATTCAGTGCCACAAGGCCAATTGTTACACCGCGTTTCACGTCACATGTGCTCAGCGTGCCGGCCTATTTATGAAGATTGATCCTGTGCGTGAGACAAATGTCAACGGGACTATGTTCTCTGTTAAGAAGACAGCATTCTGTGAGGCCCATTCGCCGCAAGGACAAGAAACTGTCTCAGATGAGGAGAGTGAAGGAAGAGTAGTGGGCAGTAGAGGGAGGGCTAGTAGAGGACGGAGCGCTTACACAGGTCCGACAACACCGAAAAAAGGCACGACAGCACCAAAAAAGGGCAGAAACTCTGATGTTGATGCCAAGATGGATAAAAAGAAAGGGAAGAAGAACACAGACTCCGCAGCTCAACACACTGCTTCACCACAAGTAACAATACCTCAGATACCAACAAGCAGGTTAGTTTTTTGTTTTTTTTGTTGTTTTTTTTAATAAAAGAAAATATGCTTCTGTTGTTGTTGAACACCTTTTTTTTGTCAGACATTCTTCAACAGACCAAGTGAAGGACATCTTGGTCAAAACTTTATACAGATGTTATTTAAAAGTAGCATTTTGGTGGAGATTTGGCAGAGCATAAGTGTAAAATTACATTTCTAGTTGAGATGCACCAGTTGCAGTTTTCTTGGCTGATTACCCATTTTCTTTCTAAGAACTGTAATTGACAGCACAGAAAGACATTTTTTGTAACTTTTTTAAATGAAAAATTTTATCGTAATAAAGATAAATTAAATTAAAGTTTTACATTTGTCTTTCTCACATTTTTTTTTAACAAACCTCAAATGAACTGCAATATTTGTACTGCTTCAAATATAAACGGGTGCAAAAGGTAATAGAAACAAAAGAATGTCTGTTACTACTGAGTGCACGGTTATTTTTGAAGTGTGTGTAGTTTGTATTTGCAGTTGTACCACAGGTTGAATACACTGTACATATGCATGCATTTCATGTGTACCAGTAATTCCCTCACTGTGTACTATTTATCAGAGATTTGAACGTAGGCTCCCTTCTTCAACATGTTTAAGTAGGCTCCTCTGTGAGCTCTTTGTACGCCAGGGGCTTCCGATGCACAAGTGAACACGAGAGCAAGCCTCATGCAAGGCGCATGTGAGATGCTACGTGCTGCACATGCTACACTTTTGGTCTGTGCCACTGCGTGCGCAACATGAACTGTAATGCCTCTAAATCTGACCAGAACAGAATCGGAACTCTCAGGTGATCAGCTTGTCACCGGTCAAAGCCGATCACACTAAAAAACCAGCCACTTTCGATCTCCGCCAATCGGTCCGTGCAGCTCTAGTCTCTAGCGAAGATGTCTGAACTGATGTCAGTTACGTAGACAGTATGACCAGTCTGCATCTGTTTCTGTTGTACAGGCTGAATATCATCTGCAAAGGAATCCTGTTCCAGAAGAAAAGTCAGTTCATGCAGCGACTGCATAGCTACTGGTTACTGAAGCGTTATTCGAGGAATGGTGTACCGCTGGTCCGCCGATTGCACTCTAACATCCAATCCCAAAGGAATACTGAAGAGGTCAGGCCAAGAAAGTCACTCCCTGACTGTTTTTGTACTCGAATAATTATGTTTTGTATGATGTTATTCAATATATTTATTAGGCCATTGTTATAAACATATTATCCTGAAACATATTTAAAATTCATTGATTGCCTTCAGATACATCTCTGACACAGTGTTTATATAATGGAGCTCTAAAAATGAGTTGTATTTGTAGCCTGAGGTGGATGAGAAGGTTTCTGCAGCAAGAGAAGCACTGAGATACTGGCAGAAGCTTCGGCATGACCTTGAAAAAGCCAGGCTACTGGTGGAGCTCATCCGTAAGAGGGAGAAACTCAAACGAGAACAGGTAACAAACCAGGATGCATTATGTTTTAGCCTTTTGCAGTCTGTAAAAACTTGAACTCCTTACGGTAGCAGCTTTCATGTGTTGCCATCACATACGTATCATCTATCAAATGCAGGTCAGAGTTCACCAGACAGCTCTAGAGATGCAGTTGACCCCAGTGTTGATGTTGCTCCGCTCCACGCTGGACCAACTACAGGAGAAGGACACAGCCCAGATCTTTGCACAACCAGTCAACATCAAGGAGGTCAGAAATTTTTACTGACACCAGATGTATGCACACAGTTTATATAGAGCAGTGGTTCCGAAATGGTGTACCGTGGGATTTTGTGCCAACCATACATTAGTATCATAGTATACAATGATACAAAAAGATATGAATGAATTTTTAATTTACTATATCAGTACTTTGTATGCACTCATTTCCCAAATCAGAGGCAAATCCTGTAGCCTAAAAAAAACACCCAAAGAACAGAGAAAAAGAACTGTCTGTAGACAGCATCATGAAAGGTGTCTGTCTTATGGCTTCAGCTTGACCAGCTGCCCTCAGGCAGGCCTCACACGGCAGCGGAGACACTCATCCTCTCTGCTTGCAGAAAATATTGTAGGTGTCATGCTAGGTCCAGATGCTGCAAATGCACTCTCTTCAATACCACCAAGGATGTTAAAAAAATAATAATCTGCGAGCACTGACAGGCACCTGTCTCCTTTGCTTGTAAGTAGGCAAACAATACTTACAATAGTAAATGTTTTAATGCTGATTCAGACTTAAGCTACATTTAAAACATTTTCAACTCATAGTCAACCAGTTTTCAATACATTTCTTTTCTTTACAATTTTAGACTAAAGTTTTTATTACAACTCGGTGCATACTCTAATATGTATTTACTATTTATATGTAAATGAGTTTTTTCACAGTGCATCTCTCTTCTTAGTTTGGTCTGTAAGGAGTCATTACATCTTGGAGCTTCCCTCTCATGTCAGATTGTTCTGAATACTATAGTACCCATGAACCTGTCAGAGGTGTCAATCAGAGTGGTGGAATGGTTGCCTCCCAACCGGAACGTTGGAGATTCAAATCACGGTGCCTGCTGTCCATATGTTGAAGTGTCCTTGATTAAGACACTGAACTCCAGGTTTCCCTCAATGGCCAGAGCAGCACCTTGCAGGGACACGCACACTGCATGTGTGTGTGAGAGAGACAGAGAGAGAGAGAGTGTTGGCGCTGCAGATGGTTGTCTCAGTTCTGTACTGGAGGAAAGTTCCTTTTGTCTGTAACATACTTGGTCAAAATAAAGTGATTGTCCTGGGGGCAACAGTAGTGCAGTCATCTCTCAACCAGAAGGTTGAAGGTTCGAAGCTCGGTGCCGGCACATGTCGAAGTGTCCTTGGGCAAGACTGTTAAGTTGTGCTTGCTGTTGTAAACAAACCTGACACCAGCATAACATTGTTTATGGTAATATATAACTGGGACTCCTACATTGCAAAGAAAATCAGTAGAACTGCACAGGGTTTATCCTTAACTTACTTTTACCACTTGTCCCTGTTGACCAGTAGGTCATAGTTTGATTTAAATCAATTGTCATTTCGAACACGGAGTGCTAGAAAAGTCTTTTCAGACATTGTAACACAGGGAGATCCCACTGAACCCCTCGCAAAATATTCTTCCACAATACAGTTTACAAGAAATGACACTTCTTGTTACGTGGCATACCAGACTTTTTGCACTTAAACAAATATGTATGTCTTTTCTTGGGATTAGCATTGAGAGCTATGTTTTGTTCTCAGGTCCCAGACTACCTGGAGTTCATCACCCATCCCATGGACTTTTCAACTATGCGCACCAAGCTGGAGAGTCATGCCTACTGCTCAGTGGCTGACCTGGAGGCTGACTTCAACCTCATGGTGTCCAACTGCCTCCTCTACAACGCCAAGGACACGGTTTTCCACCGGGCAGCACTACGTCTTCGAGACTTAGGAGGGGCCATACTGCGCCATGCACAACGGCAAGCCACCAACACTGGCCTGGACCTGGACAGTGGCATGCACCTTCCTGAGTCACCACAGAAAAGAGACTTTTACAACTGCACTTGGGACGACGGTAAGTCACAGTGGTTTACTTTAAATAGTAAAATGTTGTGACAAGTATACGGCACTTGTTTGCATGCCTTATTTTGCATGTTGTGCTTCCACTGAGATTTCAGGCTGGTGTGTGTAGTAGTGTCTGGCATTTTCTAGTGTGAGAAATGTTGCTTCTAGAAGTAATAGCTTTGAATGGCAGTTTTTAGATTTGACAGGTTGGTGGGAACAGGTCATATATATTAAACTGGGTCATCATTTTTGATAACCGTTTCAGTTTTGGACACATTTCTTGTAGAATATGTTTTGGATCTGTTTTTGTGTCTATGTAGTTATGTCTCTGATTTACGGAAGTCCACTGAGTAGTGAATCAGTTATTTGGATTAAAAAAAAAAAAAAACATCAGCACATTGTTGGGTTCTCCTCATGTTTGAGAGTAGAAAATGAACCTTATTTTGCATTTGCTCTTGTCTTGTTGCTTTGTTCATTCTCATATTCCAACAGAACATTTCAGTTTTTGTATGGCATAAGCAAGATATTTATTTAAACACAGTGAATGTGGGCAAAATATTAGCTAGTAGCAGCTTAAAACAAAAAAACATCACTATTAAAATATACTTGTGCACCTTTATGGAACATTAATGCTGGCTTCACTATTAGCCTAAATCTGTCCTGTCATGTCCAGTTGACAGTGTGCTGGACCCAGACAACCGGCTTCACATGACAGTGGAGGAACAGCTGAAAGAGCTGCTAGACAAGCTGGACTTTGTCACCTCAATGCGATGTAGTGGTGCCCGAACACGACGTATTCGCCTGCTTCGTCGCGAGATAAACAACATCCGCTACAGGCAGGGCCATCACCCCCGCTACGGCCTTCACAACGGATACTTGAAAGATGAGGAGGAGGAGGACGATGATGAAGACGCTGGGGATAAAGACACCAAGGCAGATAAAGGCCTTTCATCTTCGGACAAAGGTGGGTGATCAAAAAAAAACTGCGACATTTTCAACAGAATGAAATTGCCAATGCATTTAAAAGCCACTTTTTTCAATGAGACCAGTTGTGAACATGAGCTAACAGAACATTGTCCTCAGGTAAATGAGCCAGGGTCCCCCCCACGCACCAACCCCAACCACCCCACTGTCTCCAGTCTAGTAAGTAGGGGCCCACAGAGTCTCGCTAGCCATGGCTGCCTCACAACTCCTCTCTCCCAGTGCACTCTTATGTCCGCACCTCTTCTATTCATCACTCTCATGGACTCACTGCTCTCATGGCCACGTACAGTCATGCCATATCATCCCACTACCGACTGCAGGCTAGTCCAGTCAAAGTCTAATTGCCACTGTAGAGGAGGGCAGCAGAACAGCTGTGATTTGTGTCAGTTGAGTCATAGAATTCTGCCATGTTACTTTGTTGTTGGTGTGCAGTTTTGAGAGCCAAGTTTTTATTCACTTGTTTTGATAAGGAACTTCATATCTACAGAATACCTCGACTCCCTTTGGACTGTGATTAGACTGTTAGAATGAAATATAAATCATCATGAGGTGATACCATTTTCCAATGTGACTACTACACCACCATATCAAACTACATACTAAATGGGCATTCATTTCCAGTAAATGCTGAATGAAATAGAATTTAATTCTTCTCCTCTCATCTTCCAGAAGACTTCAAATCCACTTCGCCCCCAACACTGGAACCTACAGGGCCAGCTCCTCCTCCACGACAGGGAGACGCACCTCTGGAGCCTCCCACACTGCGGCCAATTACAGGGGAGCCCCTGTCCCTCAGTTGGCCCTGCAAGCGCCTGAAGATGGACAGTGACCTCTCAGACAGCACCACAGACAACTTGAATTGCACTAAAGCACAGGAGCAGCCTCCCAGTTTGCACAGTGAAGGGCAGGCCGTGGCCAACAGCCTGCCAGAACATGGCACCCCCCCACGGTACAACACTGGGGGAGTCGGCCGGCGAACCGCCGTGTTATTCAAAAAGGCAAAAAATGTCGCTAAGCTGTCCAGAGACAGTCCCTTACTGAATGGAAAGGGGCTGCAGGACGAGGATATAAGCAACACCTGTACAGCACCCAATTCCACAGCCAGCACCCCATCCTTGACACCATTGTCCACCCTATCCAACACCCCACAGAAATCCCCAGGACCCCCAACCCTCAATGAACAATGGTCCCCCGGTCAAGACATGTGCTCAGATAGTGAACTAGAGAGGACACCAAATCATGCACTGGAAAGTGGTGAGAAGCTTTGCTTAGTTACTGGCATGAGATTTGGCTTTACTTCAGGTTTAAGACCTTCCACTCAGGGTGCTGTTTTAGAGCTGACTGTGCTGACAGTGTGCACAAAGGATGCTGTGCAGTCATGTTACAAATATTGACAGTGTCAGACCAAAGAAAATGTGGAAGGAAATAACAGACTCTGGAATGGTCATCAGTTTCTGTTTATCACTTCAGGTAGCTAACCTGAAAAATGAAATATTTTTCAACATGTCCCATTTTATTTTGTGTAGTTTCCATGTGTCCTGTTTTTACCCACCCCAACCCCATTTCCTGTGATTATCGGGTGCTGTTCTGAGATTTCTCTCATTTGCTTTCAGGACTGACCAATGGCTTCAACAAACTCAAAGACAGTGGGTCCGACTCCGAGTACAGTCCTTGCCCAGTCCTGCACAAAGAAATGTAAGACATGGTGTATCTGCTGTCATTGCTTGTCTGGGCTTAGTAATTATTGGCAGTACACTGACAATATAACATGTTGTCTTATAGCAGCTTGCCACCCAAACAAAGCCTTGGGAAACCAGCTCTTTCTAAAGTTCCCTTCCTGGAGATCGTCAATGGAGACGCAGATTACACTGGTATGTTTGTTTTGTTTTTAGCAGAGAAATTTGAATTTCATGTTTTTTGAAAATAACCCAGGGTTGAAGTATAAATAGCAGACGGCCAGTGATGTGTTAAGTGATTTTGGTAACACTACACTGGGTGAGAGTAAAGTACTGAATATATTTGTAATATCTCTTGTCAGTGTTGCAGGGACCGTCTACAAAGTGCAATTGTCTCACAGCTGCTGCACATTGAGACCAATGATATTTGGAGCAAGGAACAGCTCATTTTGATAAACAGTGTGTAATTTGTTGTCTACATTACTATGAAACGAGAAGCATAGTTTGTATTTTAGCAACGTTTCACTATTGATCCTGGAACTTGGAATCTGAATATCTTTCCAAATTTACCGACGCCAGCCACTATAACATCCTTTTGTCAGCACCCTGACCAACAGCTGTCGCCTCCTCCGTGTCTGGGAGCAAATATGACATTTGCTCATGATCCAATGCCTCACTCCAAAGATAATGCACATGGATTTGCCCAAATAATGGTAGGGACCTGTCCCTACCATCCATACAAAACTGCACCCTTGTCAAAACTGTATTTGCACAGGGCTTCTGTGAAGCTGAGGATGCAAACCAAGGATTTAAAGTAGCTGCTGCTGTTTTGCAGGGACTGGCAGCCAAACATCAGAGGATGAGATGGAACTGGAGCCTCTGGATCTGGTTTGGGCCAAGTGTCGTGGATATCCCTCCTATCCTGCTCTGGTAATTCCTTATTTCACCTAGTATTACTGAACCAAAATCTAATATGAGCTGTCAACAAACCACATTTTGATAACAGAGCATGCAGTGCTAGAAACAAACTTAAGCTCCCTCTTGGACTGACTAAGGGTTTTGCCTTTAAAAGAACCTACCGAAATCTACGGGGTGGACTGCTCGTTAGTTTCCGGTAGTGGAAACGCAGCAACTGTGTGTTTGTTCCAGATCATTGACCCAGAGATGCCCGAGGAGGGCCTGCTGCACAATGGCGTTCCCATCCCTGTCCCACCCAAAGACGTCCTCTGTCTGGGGGAGCAGAGGCAGGAGGAGACCAGTGAGAGACTTTACCTGGTGCTTTTCTTTGACAACAAGCGGACATGGTGAGTTTCAGACATACCAAACAAGTAATGCAGTGCACTTCTGGTCACGGTCAAGCTCACCATCACTGAGTACTTGGCCAAATTGCTGCTCTAAAGAAGAAGAAAGTTATTGTGCAAAGTCATTTGAAAAAAATGTGACTTATCAGTAAATAAAACTCGTATAACTATACTATATATGTCAACATCAAATGCACAAATATATGTAGAACCAAATAACACATCTAAAGTAGCAAAGGGGGGATTGTCACTCGTATTCAAAGGTTCTAACAGTCTAATACTCTCTCTTTGGTACTGCAGGCAGTGGCTCCCACGTGAAAAGGTGACACCTTTGGGTGTTGATGAGACAGCAGACAAGCTGCGTATAATGGAGGGTCGCAAGTCCACTATCCGTAAGTCTGTCCAGGTGGCATACGACCGTGCCATGATCCACCAGAGCAGAGTGAGTCACAGCCATGGTTTTGTGACTTCTAACTACCTGTAGAGGGTACCTGTGAGCCCTGTGTGCGCCCACAGTCAGCCACTAGGCATTCTCTTTGGTCCTGGAAGCAGCAGGTGGGCCGAGTCCTACTGTGAGTCGAGTTCGTATTCACACTGTGGTCTGAAGAAGTTGCCATGGCAACACAGCATCTTGGCCTGTAGTTCGTTACCAAACCACTAATGTGTGACACACAGTGCTGCGGCGTTGGCCTTCTGGTATCGTTGCCGAGGATGCGGAGCTCCAGATGTGAATGAAGTGACCTTTAGTTCCCATGTGGCTGCAGTGAAAGTATTAAGTCCCTTTTTAGGGGTGTCTCGAGGTATCTGCTTACCACATGGATGTGCTGAGGCTGTTGAGTAGATCAAATGCAATAGAATTCCCCTCTATTTTGAATAATGCTACTGCCAAGGAATCAAATAGTCAGAAAAGAGATTTGACATATTTATGTGAACTGGAGAAGACGAATGAATGGATCACTGCCATCTTTTATACTATAACTTTTTACATTTTAATCTTATACAAAGACACTTGTATACGATAAAGGCACACTTTGTGTACATATGTATATGTATTATCAAACTCAATTTAATTTAATGTTGCCATTTTGAAACGCGTATTTCAATCAGCCCTCAAGGGGCAAAGCGAGGCTATGTATAGTTGGGGAGCTAAAAGAATTCCCGACTCGCTACAGTGTACTTAGCTTGTCTTTGCTGTACTTTGATTGTGCTCTACCTGTACATTCAGAGCATGCGACACAATGAGCTTTGATTTATATCTGAATTCTCTTTTTGATACAGAGAGTAATTTATTTATGGAAGACAGAACTATAGAAATAAAACTATATTGGTTAAAGTTGAGAATTAAATTTTATTTAAAACAAATGGAGTGAGATTTTAAAACCATACAGCCAACATTTGAACAGATGCGTTCACGTTTGGTCTGATGTCGATGGCATTACTCAGAACCAACCACCATTATTCACTGTTGACCCCCAGAAAATTTTATTTATTGTTGAGCCCCCCATATTAACAAATGGAAAGCTAAACCTTTATAAGCTTGTACTACCTGCATATTTTACCTGCTCACCAAATATTTTGTCTGAAAAATTATTTTCTCATTTTGGGAAATGAATACTCTATTAAAAACCTTTTGGGATACTTAACTACGGGTTTATGTTTTTTCTTTTTAAACGAGTTCTCATTTCAATATTTTATAACCACCCCTTGGCACATACACTCATTGGCCACTCTATTAGGTACAGCTGTATGCAGTTCAATGCAGCATATCTGTCTTAACATCTGTGTTTATGAAGCTCAGTGTTTCAGTTTTTGGTGAAAGTGTCAAATGCATAAATTCAATGTTCTTTATTGAGGTCATAATTAAAGGTGGTGTTATACTGGACTACATTATATGCAGAAGTCTTTCTATATTTTTGTCCTCCCTAGCTACATACATGATAGGGTCAGAATATTAGGAACACCTCTGCATATAATGTAGTCCAGTACACACCACCACCTTTAACTGTGACCTCAATAAAAAAATATTGAATTTATGCATTTGACAGTTTCACCAAAAACTGAAACACTGAGCTTCATAAACACAGATGTTAAGACAGAGATGTTGCATTGAACTGCATAGAGCTGTACCTAATAAAGTGGCCAGTGAGTGTATAGATATATATGCTTCACAAAGAAGGATAAAGGTAATGAGCTAAGTGTAAACTGGCAAAGTACTAGTATAAAAAGCCCTATACATCTTTTTTTGCTTAAACTCCAGCAGTCCACAAGGACAGTTTAATCCCATCAGAAGCAACAATTCCACAATGACCACAGGCCTTAAGTCAACTGAGAAAACGTTTGAAGACGCGTCTGTCAGTTGAACAACAGGAAGTCAACACTATGAAGAGAAATACCTTGCATGTCCAAAATATTCCATTCTCTATGACAGCGTTTGTACAGTGACAGAGATGACCTGGTGGTGTTCAGTGTCCAGACTGTTGTCTTGTCAGGAGGAGGTAGTTGTGACGGAGGGTTCGGAGCTCCGTCAGTCTGCCTAGCAGCCGGCCAAACCGCTGTGGCCCACCTCGTGCAGCTCCAGCTTGGGCTCCGCACACCCTTGACAGCAGGTCCAAGATCAGCTCCTGCATTTTCTCAACACAGCTAGCTGCCGGCAGGGACACCCGGTCTGCAAGACAGAGACACAGACAAGACCCTTTTCTTTGTGTTCATATCCAAACATAGACTGACACATTCACAGTGATTCAACACATTAACAAACAGCATCTTTATGAAAAAACTGCATGCAGATGTCACACTACAGAAAAACTCATGTTCTATAGAGCATGAAAGCAGAAGAGTCCATTTAAAGAAGGTCAGTCATTTTCTATATTAATAGTATTTTCAACATTCCCCATACAGAGGTTACTGCCAGCAATGAACTGCCTCAACTCTGTTACCTGTGATAGGTGTTCTAATTCCTCTGCCAACCTAACCCTAGTAACGTAGTGGTCTGTGATCTTTAAAATATTATCAGAGCCACTTGATATTGATTTCAAACCTAACGCAGCAGCAGTCATATGTGGTACTACAGAAGGCATACACTCCACTATAAGGACAAAACATAAAACCATTTTAGCCTTTGCGACCCTGCTGGCACACAAAAGAATACTACTACACTGGAAATCAGCAAATTCCCCTAGAACGTCTTTGTGGTTCAGTGATCTGATGCAATTCATACAGTTGGAAAAAATAAAATTGTCATTTAGGGGGTTCAGGGACACATTCTTCTCCACCTGGGACCTGGTTGTGACATTTGGGTACACTTAAATACTTGATACCCTCTCTGCAATCCCTTCCAATTTTTGATAGTTAATCATGCACACAGCAGCATACAACTACCTTTTGTTTTTATTATCTCTATTTTTATGTATTTATCTATCTGTTGCTCCCTTAATCATTATTCTTGCCACTTATCTTAGTTGGTGTGCCCCATGTTCAGGTGGGAGGGGTGCCATTTTACTGTCACAGACTGCAGGAGTTTATACTCATTATTTAGAAGAGAATGGAGCATTTGCAGGACAACTGAGTGGATTATTTCAGACCAAACATCCACAGACTAGAGAAAGGGAGCGATTCCTGGGCTGACCTGAGCAGAGCAGTGCTGTAGCAGTGAGCAGGGTGTATTCAGCCTCCGTCACCTGCAACGTCTTCATGCTGTGAAAGAAGTTCAGCACTGGCCTGGCAAGGTCTTCGCTGCTTTCTGTTCACACCAGAAAACAATTAGTATATACCATGTTTTTTACCCAGTCTGAGACCTCAGATATGTGCTTAGTGAATGTATGCCTGGACTCACCTGAATTCATCAACGCCCTACTGTGGATCTTCTCCTTTGACTGCACATTTCTTAGCCAGTTGTGTGTTGACAGACTGAAAAGCTGCAGGGCTAATGACAAAAGATACAAAATGCAAGTAGGAAGCATAAATGCAGTATTTCTGAAATGCCTTGTGTGCTCCTTTCTTGTTGGTTTACTCACCTGGACTGGGACTTGTTGGGTTATTGGAGAACTGCTGAGCTGAGAGCAGGAACATGACCTCCAGTGATGAGACAGACAAGAGAGAGCTCTGGTCTGAAAAGTCCAGGAGGTCAAAACCTGTGAGAAGAACAGTGGCATGTATTTTTATACAGATTTTACAAGAAGTTACTGAGTGAAATGATGAATAAATTATTGTTTAACTCTATCATATTGCTGTGTAGCAGAAATGGGGAAAAGAAAAAGTGCAGCATTGTCCTTTACAGCTAGACACTGGGGGAAGGGGAAGTATTGACTAGAGCTGCATGGAGAAGAGAAAGAGTCTTCATTTGATTTTTGTTTCCACTAAAAGTGGAGATTATTTCACAAAGCAGCTGGATTTCCAGGACATCACCTGGATTGGTGCCAGACCTTTACATTTTTGTTAATGCTACAGCTCAACATAGAGGTTGTGATGTCAGGCAGCAGTAGGTAAATCTCTGTCCTACTGTATACCACAGTATGTCTGTGTCTACTCCATTTAGCTTAAGTGGGTTTTTTTATATTAATTATCAAGAAAAACTGCCATTGGTCTATTCGGAAATAAAATAAAATACAGTGCCTATATACTGTAAAGGTGACATGTCAGTCCCACATTCACCTTCCTGCTACTTTAAAACCCACTAGAAACTGTATAAATCCACAGCTGAAAATAGTCCCCAACAAATGCACTATTCATGCTTGTTTGAGTAATATTTGCTAAAAAAAAATGCCGTGTCTGGCCATTTTAGGTCATTACAGAGCCTCAAAAATACTAATATATGACTTGATTGTAAATTTAATTTATGACTGCAACAGCAACACAGGATAGGGCAGAAAGGAAAGGTGGACTAACAAAGACATTATTGGGTTTGGTCTTTTCATGGGATTCATCAACAGTAACAAAAACAGAATATCGTCAGCCTTATCTTCTGAAAGTTTGGGTAGAAAATGAGTTTCTGGAACTTTGTAGTAGCTTAATGTTAATGTGAGAATATTTTCTGCTTTTTTAAGTCTATAGCAGGGGTGCCCAAAATGAAAATGCGTTACCGGGCTGAGGGCTGGGTGGGCGGCGG